GGCTTCAGAGAGCGCGAGCGAGCGGTGGAACCGCCTTCTGTTCACCAATTCATCTCTGCATCAGCCACAGGCAGACAGAGCTCAGGCATGACTACAGACAGATGAGGAAGCTCTACTCCTATGTCGCCTTTTTATTGATCAAAGGACTGGAATAAAAAGACAAGCAGACGAGAAAAAAATTAGAAAAATTTCAAATTGAGGTTCTTGATGTAGATGTAATAATGTTTTTTTTTTATTTGATTTGCATAAAGGGCCTTGCAATTAATGTTCTACCAGAAAAAAGTTTAAAAACCAACTGATAAAAGTAGATGCATTGCTCTGACCTCCACTCTAAAAGTTCACAGATATCCTTCTTTTAAATCTTACTGGTAAAGGTATACACTGGCAGGTTATCCGTTTTCCAGCCGAACCTGAAATGTGATACTAATGGGTTTTGAATGTTTCAAAAGCACCATATTACTGTGAATTACTATCTCTGGTGGTAAAATGAGAATTGGGTTTAACATAGCAAGCTTGGTAAGGAATAATTCAGTCTTTATTGGTTCTTAAAGGATATTATCCAATTTATTCAAAAACAACGCCTTGAACTGGGCTCATCTATGTATCTTTAGCCCCGTTTACACTACCTTTTTGAAACCGTGCAGACATCGGTCCGAGCACGGTAACCGAAATAACTGTTTAGTGTAAATGGCACACAAAACTGAACCGGACTGTGCCACACACAACTGAACTGTGCTAAACTGGTACTAGTTCAACAGTAGTGGCTCAGTTCTCTGATAACAAAGAGAGCATGAGCAGAACGCGTCATCTTCTATTTACAGTCAGCTTCCAGTAGATGGTGGTAATGCACATCAGTAAGTTGCTTGTCAAACACGACAAAACAGAAGGAGAACTGAAAACAACAATCGAAATCTTCTCAACACTACATTTCTTAAAGTGGCTTCAAAAGATGTGCAACCTGGAAGACGCCGAGACTGAGGCGGTTATTGCAATTAGGGCAGAGGACGTTATCCAGGCAATGTTGGACGGAACAAAAGATTATCACAAAAGTTTTCCTACTAGAGAGAAGTAGTACTGTAGATCGTCACTGTGTGGCGAGGAACTGTGCTAGCGTGATGTGTAAACGGTCATAAGGAACCAAGCTTGGCACGGTTAACTGATCCAAGCTCGGTCCAAACTCTGCACGGATCGGTTTTAAGGGAATATTTTAAATGGGGCTTTTGGATGGATTAATGAATACATTATTAACCCCTAAAAAGTGCAAAATAGTCCTGTTACACAATTAAAATAAATATCAAAGATGGATGTGCAATAGTTGCAGTTACCTACTTAGAATACATTCCTCATGGACTATCCTCCATGCACAAAAAAAATAGTTTTGCAGTCTGACAGTGGAAAGGCTTCTTAATAACAACAGAGCATATAATGCAAGGAGTGACTGAGGTTCTCCCTGACTGATCTAAGCTTGGATATGGTCCGTTTCTCCACCTCCTCCTCCACAGAGTCCAGGCTCAGTCCAATCACAGAGAAAACTCTTTAGATTAGACTTTTCAGCTTCCTGATACCCGATTTTTCCTGGCACTAACCTTTAGCCCACCATGCACTTAAAAAAACAACACAGAAATAACATTTCCAGCCTTAACAAGGAGAATATCCTTGCTTTTTTTTTTTTTTTTTTTTTTTTTATAGATGTAGCCTAATCGGTGCAGATAGAACGTGCTCTGTTTAGTGGCAGACCCAGATACTTGAAGGAGTGAACCACCAATATTTCCTTCCTCGAATAACAATGGGCTCTAAAGGAGGCTGTGCTTGGAGGAGTTTAGTGATGTTAAGCTGCCTAAAAATTCAGCAATCTTGTCACTTTAGATTGTTGTGTCACAAAGATCCAAAGTGAAAAACGGGGGAAACACTTTAAATGTGTTTACATTTAGTTTGCCCCGTTGCAGATTTTTTTATTTTCATTGTATTGTTTTTTATAACATCACACATAAATCAAAGAAAACACAAGTTAACACAAGATGCAGTTTTTAAATGTATTTTATTATTAAGAAACATTTCAGAATGAATTAGTTGGGCTTATCACATCTGAGTTCAGTTTCTTTAGCCACGCCCCAGGCTGATTACTGCCACACCTGTTCTTGATAAAGAAATTATATTTTAATGTGTTTGATGTTCTGAAACATTAAAATCTGACAAACATCCCCCCCCAAAAAAAAAAGTTGGATATTTGGAGCCTGTTTGAGAGAGTAACATTTTACAAGTTACCATGAAAACACCTTTGATCATTCCCTTTGGTCTGTTTCCGAAATTTCAACACATCCAACACTCCTGTGTTCTCTAAAGCAGACTTTTTATCTGTCAGCTTTGATTTCATGGGTTTGATGAGTGCTGCTGTACTACAGTAGCTCAGCTTTTGAATCTTATCAGCTTTTTTCAGACAGTGCATCTCTGCATCAAAGTCACCAAAAAAAAACCCTAACTGATTTCTCTGTGTTTCTTTGCCTTGGGAGCTTATTCCTCTCCCAGGTCATTGTGTAAATGACAAGGTCTGAATAATGATAATACATGTGAAGTGGTGTGTGTGAATGTGTGTGTCTGTGTCTTCCCTTGACAGGACAGAAGAAATGGGGCTCCTGATTGGTTTCTGCTTGCGAGGGGTGGCGAGCTGTGTGAACTCTGGTGCTCTCCGACCGGCGCATTTTCATGGAAAGCATCTCTTTGGGGGCCTGCAGGTTTTCAATGCACTCATTTACACATCAAAACAGCCCAGGAAAGGGATAGTGCTCAAGGGTTTGTGGGGTGAGGGACTGTAGAAAGAGGGGAGGGCAGGGTAATGAAGGATGCTTTATCTTCCCTTTTTTTACCCTCAGGGGTGGGCAGGCCTTTAAGTATACGAGGGAGGCGCATTGATGCCATAATGATCGCCTTTAATCAGACCCGTGACCAGATGAAGGGATTTCTCCTCAGCAGACAAAAACATGGTGTCAGCAGCTGAAAGTGGGATCAGCGCTGAGGTGTTTTCACGCTTTTTTGTTTTGTTTCAAAATTGGAAATAAACTTTACAAATCCCGCATAAATGCTCGTGTTCTGCCCAGCCCAGGAGTCAATAAATACTGGTTGGGTTAACAGGGAGCACAATCAGAATATTCTGAGAAACCCTGAGGGGAAAGTGTTGCCTTTTCTGGGAGTAGACTGCCTCTTGGCCCAGACAAGGTTGCTGCTCAGTGACTCTGACACTATTTAACCTCCTGAGCCAGAGAAGAAGAAAAACAGCTCGGAAACTCTGCCAAACTAAACCTCTCGAGCGAGACTGAGCTGACTTACTCCTGAATTTGGATGTTACTGGAGGCGGGGTGGGGTCTTATTTAAAACAAGCTTGGTGCTCATTGGTTGTCTATGCCTGTGCACTGCTGACCCCAGGTGTGTGTGTGCGTGTTGGGGGAAGGTGTTCCCGGCAGGCACATTTCTGGCGCCAAAAGAACCACAGTTCAAACAAACTCCGGTTTTGGTATGAGCTTTTCTTTCATACTTCTATGTGACGCTGTGTGCTGCGTGATTCCTTTCCTCTGTGAATGAAAGGAGCTAAAAATAGCTGTCGGTGACCTGGAAATGCAGCGATAGAATTCAGATAAGAGGAGGGGAAATGTCAAAAAGATATTTAAAAAATACCCCCGTTTGCTGCTTAACAGCTCATTTTTCTTTTATATTTAGCAATATCTAGATTGATAGTGGAAAATCAAATGAGAAATGCTGAGGGAGGCGAAAAAGTTCAAGCAAAGCACAACTTCCCCTCTACAGCCACCTCCTTGCTATCTAATCAACTCAGCACAGGTGGGAAGAGCCGGTTTGTCTCATGCAGCAAGTGCTCTGCCTCACCGGGGTCACGCCACTGGAGTGTAAACTATGGGGAAAGCACAGAGCACCCCCCCATACACACACACACATATTTTCCCATTCAGTAGGTGTCCATGAACTGGAGCATGTGGCTGAAAAGCAGCCAGCCGAGGCTCATGGCTGCACGAGAGCGGACTCCAATCAAAACAGCCCCTTTTTAATAGTTAAATGTGATCCAGTGTCAGAGTCCAGAACGTGGAGCGTGCTCCTGCCAAGCTATGGACGAGGTCTACAGTGCCCGAGTAATGAAAACAGAGGAGGGGGGGTGCGTCGGTAGTTGCCCATATGTTGCTCTGCCAAAGGATGGGGAATAAGTAATTTAGGTTAACTCAGGCGTTGCAAATCTACGGCGGCTGGAAATGTGGTTGATTTACTACTGAGACATAAAGCATCCACTGCTGGAAATGAACTTAAATGCTTTGCAGGAGTATTAATAGTTTTTGTCCAGTAACAACCACAGGCTTCATTATATTTGGTCGGGTTTTAATGTTGTAGATCAACACACCGTAGTGCGTATCTGTGGTGGAAAGAAAAGGATTCATGGTTGTGAGGAAAAAGTCTGACAAGCATCATATTTAATTTGTTTTAAGACTGTTTGGGTCAGCAGTGCATGGCTCCATTCTTTGCTGCAGTTACAGCTGCATCTTTACGTTAAAGCTCATTTAGGTTGAATAGGTTGGATCTTTATTCCGCAATTTAAAAGTCTGATGGAGATTCGACACCGGATCTCAGTCTGGACTTTTGCCCCATCTAAAGTTGTGGATGTGTTTTGATTGAAACCATTGTGGTTGTAGGTTTTTATCTTGTTTAATCCATCGGTTACGCCCAGCTTTCTTGACCATGCTAAACCAAACCCCGATGGGGCAAAGTATTCATGGTGATGTGCAGTTCTGGTTTTCCTTTCAAATATATATTTTTTAATGCATTGTGATTGCACAATAACTGCTGTCATCCTGGCACTCAACCAAAAAAGGCCAGATCTGCGGTGTGGAGAACTAATAAATGTCTTGTCATCAGATTCTCCCAGCCAAGCTGTGGATCTCTGCAGCTGCTCCAGAGCCACCAAAGGCTTCTGGCCTGCTGCCTTCAAAGGATGGTGAAAACAGCCTGACTCGGCTAAAAATAATAATAATAACCTGCCCTGACCCCTCTGCTATGTTTATTTAGATTTTTCTGATGCATGTTCGTTCAATAACTGAGTCATTCAGACTGATTTAAACAGAAATAAAATAAAACTACAAGGGGCTCAAAGTGAGCAAACTCCAAACATTGCAGTTGTCTTTGGAGGAAGCTTGAAATAAAAAGTATATTTCCTCTCTATAAAAATTCTGATTTTCTATAAGAGTGTGGCTGTGAAGTGACAAAATGTGGAAAAGAGTTATATTTCAATTCCACTTCACTTCGGGGAGAAAGATTGCCCTTTATCCTCTGCTATCTTTATTTGACAGCTTTCCCCTTTAGCAACCTTTGAGATCAAACTGTCACACAGTGAAAGGCAAACTTTTACATTTCAACCTCGCTGCTAAAGATTAAACAAATGGCTTACATGCTTTTTTGGCATCAAACTTCTACCATAACTAAAAAAGAAATATATAAAAAAAGCAGCTAGGGTTTCACATGAATCGTTTTTTTTTTTTGAGTTGCTAAGAGTAACGGGATGTTTTGATGTAATCTATGAAACTTATATATGAATACTTTCTGCACTGCTGACAACATATCTGAGCAATCCTTTGTGCTTTTGCATGCATGCTCTACAAGATCTGAGAGACCTGATGTAAAAAATCAAAAAAAAAAAAAAAGTTAAAGCAAACAACCTGTCAACCTCTGCAGATGTCAGCGAGCACAGGCCTCCTTCACCCCCTGCTGACAAACCAGTAACCCAACAAAAACACGCTCCTGGGTCACAGTGCAGCTTCTTTTTCCAAACTGACTGCCATGATGTTGCTGCTTGCTGGGAGGTGGTGACAAAGCAGGCAATCACTGGCCGGCATCATAAACAGTAAAACAACCTGGTGCGTGGGGTTGCAATTTGTGTTGGCAACACAGTCCTGCTGCCTCCTAATGTAAAAGCTATTTATTTTCCCTCTTTTATGGACCATCTGAGGACATGGGGGCTCTCATGCTTTATAAAACCGACTTTATTAGAGAAAAACCAGTGGCTAGAACCTACTTAGAGCCCTTACTTAATGAAAATAATGTTTGACATTCTCCATCTCTGGATCAGTCAGTCATTATTTATAAGTTGCAGTCATTTCTGCAGGCATAAAGGTGAATTGTTCTCGCCAAACAAAATGTTTCGTAAAAGTGCAATGCCGCTAATCCGTGTCAGATATTCCTGGAACCGCAAGCCTGCGTTGAAACCGAAAGTTCACTTAATAGTCCATCAGTTCAATGAGCTGCTTCAGCTTTGAGAGGCTGTGCTAAACTTAAATCTGTCAGTGAAACCATGCAATGAGTCCGAAATCCACTTTAGATTTGTGCCCTCAGATCAAAGTGCCGAGTGTTTTGAACGATGATCAAATGGAGCACAGAGAGCGAGCGAGGGAGAGGGAGGGCAACAACACTGACTCCGAGGAAAAGGATTAAAACAGCCATTAATTAAATATATTCCTCCTCGAAGTGCTGCTGCATTTTTTAAAGCCGATGACGCAAACGTTAATGCCTGCCACGGTTTGTCACTCCATTCATCATCCATTCTCTTTGAGGATCATTGACGGGTATGCCTCTGGGATGGGCTGGGAAGACAAACACGGGTGCAAAGAGCCCCACTTTTAAATTAAATAAATAAGTAAAAGCCCAAATATCTGAGACAGATGGAAAAGAAAAAAAAATCACGTGTTTTTGCATTCAAACCCTTAAAACGTTTCAATAATCACCGGGACAAGAAGGTTAACATGAGCTCCTCAGATTTATTAACCTCGCCCCCCCAACAAACCAATTTTCTTATAAAAGGCACTTAATTTCCCTTAACTTTTAATCCATGTAACTAAACATTAGTGAGAGCCAACGTGGGCTTTAAATTAAATATATTTACAATAAATAACCCATTTTTACAGATTTATACAAATAATCATGACACTCTCAGAGAGGAAAATACACAAATATTTCCCAAAATCCTCTCATTGAACAGCATGTGTATACATATTGATATATCGCTTTGCAAAACTGGAGAACAGTATGAACAAGAAAATATGGGTAACATGCCAAACATTTCCCTTTATGCATTAACTGAATACTGTTTTACAGATACCTGTGTGCCATTTGGCAGCAGCAGTGAAGTACCCCACAGTTGAGTTCAAGCCTTTTAGCACCTCCTCACTCAGGGTACAAAGTGTGTGTGTTTCCTGTTAGACATGTGTGGGGGTGTCTGAGTGCGGATCAGTCTTGGCCATGTGCAGAACCACAGCAGGAGATTTGTAGTGGCAGTGCGTGCTGCCACAGTTCACGCCGCCGCAGGGCTTCCTCCCACTAGTCCTGTCCGCCAGCTTCCTGCTGCACAGGCCCTGCCAGGTCTGCAGGGTCTTGGAGCTCCACACCCACACCCCGCTGGTGATGCCGACCACCAAAGACATGAAGATCTTCAGCATGAACACGGCCACTGTGGGTACGGACGTCTGCAGCGAGCAGTCGCCGGCTTGCCCCCCAAAGGAGCTGCATTTCATCTGCTGCCCCCTCAGCTTCCAGTAGTCCATATTGAGCCTCTCGTAGAAGTAGCAGATAATGACGCAGGTGGCCGGGACAGTGTACAGGATGGAGTAGATGCCGATCTTCACCATGAGCTTCTCCAGCTTCTCCGTGTTGGTGCCCTCTGTCTTCATGACTTTACGGATGTGGAAGAGGGCGACGAAGCCTGTGAGGATGAAGGACGTGCCGATGATCAGGTAGCAGGACAGCGGGATGAGGACGAAGCCGGTGAGCGCCCCCGGGTCCATGCTGCCCACGTAGCACAGCCCCGTCAGCTCATCGCCAGCCACCTTCCTCATAGTGAGGATGATGATAGTCTTAAGAGCGGGGATGCCCCAAGCAGCCATGTGAAAATAGTTGCTGTGGGCCTCAATGGCCTCGTGGCCCCACTTCTTCCCTGCAGCCAGGAACCAGGTGAGGGTGAGGATGACCCACCATATTGAAGAGGCCATTCCAAAGTAGTACAGGATGAGAAAGACTATGGTGCAGCCAGTGGACTCCAGCCCCTCCTGGATGATGTACAGCTCTCCGTGCTCACGATCACAAGCGATGTTCTCTGACCCTGCCACCGAGCGGATGATGAAGGCCACAGAGTAGACATTGTAACACATGGAGAGGAAGATGATGGGTCTCTCTGGGTACTGGAAGCGGTGGGGCTCCAGGAGGAAGGTCAGCACAGTGAAAGCAGTGGAAACAAAACACAGGATAGACCACACCGTCACCCAGATGAAGGCAAAGTCCTTATCCTGCCTGGACCAGTAGACGTCCACGGCCGGGGAGCAGCGCGGGGCGCAGGACTGGCTCTTCTCCACGAACTGGAACTTATCCGGGTTCTCACAGGAACCCACCGGGCGCGGAGGGTGGGCCCCGCTGGTGCCCGGCTGCCGGGGCCTAGGGGGGACCGGGAGCATCCCCTCACCCTTCTTTCCTTCCGTCCTGGTTTCGTTCTCAGGGGCCTCAATGCACAGGGCGTTCGGGTCGTTCCTGGTGGGCAGCTTGGAGCAGTTCAGCGATTCAGGCCAGGTGTAGCTGAACTGCTTCATGATGGGGGCACACTTCTCCCTGGCCTGCTCACACATGGGCCGGCAGGCCGGGATGGAGGTGGACACTTTATCCGTGCACATGGGGGCATAGAGGGAGCAGAGGAAGAAACGGAGGTGCACATCGCAGCCGTAGCTCACCAGGGGGGCGAACTCCAGCAGCTTGATGGCAGCCTCCTCCTGGTCATCGTGCTGCATGAAGTTGGGCATCCGGGTGAGGTTGTAGCCGATGCCCTGGCACATGGGGATCACGATGGGCTCACACTTAGCAGGTCTGTCCCGGTCCAGGTCGTAGGAGCCGATCTCAAAGCTGGAGCAGGAACTCAGCAGCAGACATAAGAAAAGCACCACCTGCAGCGGACAGTCATCCATGCTTAATATTCTCACCTAGGAAAAAGGATAAGTCTGTGCTCCTTAGAAATAGGCATGAAAATATCAGAGAGAGACGGAGCGGTCCCGTTATTCCCCAGAATGATAATAAAAACAGTTTTTACGCAGAGAGTCCGAAACTAAAAGAGATGAATCCAGGAGAAAGAGGTCCGTCACCACAGCCAAGAAACTTCAGCTCAACATTAAAAAAATGAGCAGCGATCCGACAAGGAAGAAAAAACCCAAACCAAAATAAAGACAGACAGGAGAGCGGCTGCTGGTTTGGTTTATATCGGCTCCACGGGCTCCTCTCCCTCCGCTTCCACGATCCACACTAAAGTTTGAGAGCCGCTCAGAGGGACTTCACTCCGGCGGACACACGGAGCAGGAGGAGCAGGAGGAGGAGCAGGAGGAGTGAACGCTGTGACGCTCACATTTCACCTCCCCCAGCTCCACACAAGGAAAATGATCAGACAGATGCCGGAGGATGGTCAAATACCTCTGACATTTCTGCCGTGAATAGTTCGCTCACACGTTTCCCAACAGGCAGCAGTTAACTGATGATAACTTTCATCATCATCACAGGCTGCTGCGTCCTCATTACACACTAACATGCAGCATTTTCATTCAGTTTCTATTAACTAAGATGACTTAGATTATATGCACATAGATACAGTATATAAAGAAAAGCCTAATTGAATCCCTGTTTTACGTTTATCCAGGGCCGCAGCAAATATGAAAACGGACCCAGGGCTAAGTGGCTCAGAAGGGCCCCACTTGCTCACCCTCAGAAAGGCTACGTCCACACTGTAGGCCTTGATGCTCAATTCCGATTTTTTTGTGAAATCAGACTTTTTCGCGTTCCCGTTCATATTTCTAAATATATGCGACTTGTTTGGGATCTCCTGTGTGAACTGCAGTCATACAACGCAAGTGTCCCGCATGCGCAGTAAAGGACACAATGACGTCACAGGCCAGCGTGCTCTTTTTTTCCGGAAGTAAACATGGATGGCAGTGCCAGTGCGCATCTAGCGATCTTTTCCAACCATAAAAACTCATTCATTTCAGTATGGTTAAACATAAATACTGCTCTCCGCATCCCCATCTGCCATGGTTGTTGTTTTTCTTGCCGCTTCTGCGTAGCAAGACGCATAATAGTGACCTTTGTCGGGTATTAATAATGTTCAGGTCAGATGAATGCGACCTGGCCGTTCAGACACAGGTCCCAGTTGAAAAGATCAGATTGGTATCGAATTCAGGACCACATAGCCAAGTGGCCTGGGTCGCATTGGAAAAAATCTAATCTGTGTTGTTCAGACAGCCATGAAAAGATCAGATCCAGGTCGCATGTGGGCAAAATATCAGATTTGGGTGACTTCAGGCTGCATTGTGAACGTAGCCATAGACTGGTGCTATTCTAATTTTTTTTTATTACACTAAAATACCAATTTAAATAAAATGATGAAATAAACATGGAAAATGTTGATGAGTTTGGACAAGAAAACAGGACAAAAGTATTTGTAATTGTTCATAGCCTACCCCTGGTAGATATTTTTTTTGTTTCTTTTTTTCTTCAGTCACACAATAACTTTGTTTTTGAAAATTAATATGACAAGCTTCTCTCAAAACATAATAAATGTTCAATACATTTTTTTCATAAAACAAAATAATTATGTCAAATCTTATTTTAACACGTTAGTAGTTGAAAAAAAGTAGTTGCATCATATGAAACCACTCCTGTAATTTCTAAACCCCTGCTTGTATTTCTAACCTTCGATTATGACAATTTATTTTTGCAAAAGCTTAATGGTTTCTTAATGCTGTTATTAGTTCTAACTTTGAACTTTTTGTTGTTTGATGTTAAATCTTCATCACAAGCTGCCTGCCACAGTCTTTTCCTATCACACATTCCTTTCAAAACTTCTAAGGGCAGTTTTAATGTCCCTTTGGTGAGTGATGATTTATTGCTTTGTATATTCTAGTTATAGGGAACTGTGATTAAAAACAATTTAATGTATTTATTTATTTTGTGGTACTTGTCCACATGAATAAACCTGAACATAGTACAAACTTGTGTTCAAGCAAAGTTGTCAGTAAGTGATATATGCACAACATTGTGGACATCTTGGTCAGCTATTGTTTTTATTCTCTCTAGTACAACTTTTATTAGATTATCTTTTACTTTAATTTAATTTTTAAAGAATTTAACTGACTGGAACAAACTTGTTTCCTTGTTATAATTTAATTTTTAAAGAATTTAACTGACTGGAAAAAACTTGTTTCATCAACACCTTTTATAGATACGCCTTTTTTTATTTACTTACTCTACTGTTTGTTCCTTGTCTCCAGAACTTCTTGGTTTGTATTAGTAACACATGCTCCAAGTCTTCCACCTTTCCGAAAAAAACCCGAAAGCATTAACTGTCCAACAAATCTCAGTAACAGTATAATAACAAAAATTTACTCTAAGAAATTTAGCAGAGAAATGTCTATATTTGAGATCAGTATCAACTTTCAGTATTTGTCTAATCCTGCTTTTTTGAATTAAGTGTAAACACACATGTTTACTTTGCATCTAGAAATAGACTACATTTCCTGGTGCTATACTTGAGTAAGGTCTTGCTCAGGCAAGACGTGACCATGAATTTTTTTGGCCTTTCTGTACAAAATCAATCAATCAATCAATCAATCTAAAATATCATCATTAAAAGGTAAATAAAAACATTCTTTAGAAGCCAAATATGCATATATGCTGTAGCTGGTTTTGTTTCCCCAGGTGAAGATATTTAAAATCTTACTTCTTGATAAAACTTTAAAGCTCCCCAAAAATGGACTGGAACCATCAGAATTAAATTCTCATATCTGGAAGAACCCTGAGATCATTTAGGAGCCCAAGTTACCATAAACATCTGAATGCAAAGATGATCCGTGTTATTTAAACCAGTGCACATTTGATCCTTTTACCAGAGGTAAAATTCAGCACTGATAAGTTAGGTCATTTTGTATTATTTTTGCAGTTTTTTTTTTATCTAACAGCTAACAGAACAAGATTGCCCTCTATAGTAAAAGTGAGATAACATGGAAAATCTCATGCAAAGTAAAGTTTTGAAGAGACACAGGGTGGGTGGGAGCTTAAAAAAATGCATCCACCCACTAGCTCAATTTATTCAAATCTATTGGATGTACTGAAGCTGTCATGGTTTTGGTTCTTTTCAAGTTTTATATCTGAGCTTTCATTGGTCTTATTTCCATTTTTGTGTTCTAGTTTTTGATTGTATTTGAGTTCTTAGATATTTATTGTTTGCCCTCTTGTGTCAGTCTGCTTTTGCCTAGCTCTCTTCTAGGGAGCTAGTTCACACCTGCTCCCAATCTGCTAATTAGCCTGGTCTTTGTTTCTCTCTCCCATATATCCTCCTCCTTTTCAGTCACTCTTGGCTGGTTTGTTCGTTCTATACTTTGTCCCCTTCTTGTTGTGAGTATTCCTCCTTTTCAGCATTTTTGGATTTTTGTGAATTTATGTTTTGGATTTATGCTTCTGTTGAACTTTTGGTTTATTAAACCTTCAAGTAACAACCTTAAGCTTTTGTGTCTGCATTTGGGTCCTGTCAAATCTCCACCCCCACTGTGATAGAAGCTCATATTCTTCTTCTGTCTAATATGAGGATATTCAGGAACAAAAATATTAGTTGAAAGTTTCCCCTCTGGATAAGATATAAGAAAACTGTCACTATCATCCTCCTCTGTCCTCATTGAGAAGCAGAACAATATCTTATTCTCCATGGTGGTTACAGGGAATAAGCTGCTCGACCTGTAAAAGGACACAGGAGGTTTAACTGCCACTGCCTCCAAATTACTCTGCCATGATTTCTGCTAATGTTTTTTAAGATGTATAATGTGAAACTTTATTGAGTCATGCAGGTCATTTCCTCTAAAAGGATAACTGTCCTGCAGATGGCAGGAATTTCACTGCCCACACAAATGACTCCTGAAAGGGAACTAGCGATTGAAGGTGAACGAGATTAAAAAACCCAGCCTGAAAACGCCCACAAACAGCTAACCTGGACCAGAATGATTTAATGAGGAGATGCAACCCTGTACAGAATTAATTAATGGATACAACAGCGACTAAGCGGGGGAAGGCTATTGTTTCCATCTAGCGGCTGAATAGGGAGAGTCTGCAGCCCCACAGCTGTTGCACGGAACATTTGATCTTTTCTCAAACAGGGGAGGGAACTCAAGGATTTTGGCCCCTCGCCCTGCAGGACTGAATCGCTTGTCAACTGCATGCTGTCTCTATTAGTCCCTGTGTTAAAAGTCTGTCTGCTGAAGGTGGTTTTGCACCTGTCTGGTGGAGAATGACCCTGCTGTTTGTTACATTAAGATGTTAATATTGACAGTATAGCAAGGGGGGAAATAGTCTTTTATGTGTTCACTGCATGAGCTACATCCTTAGATTCTCATTTTGGAATTAGATGTTTGGAGCATATTGAGTCTGAGATGATTTGAACTCCTACATCTCCCTGCTGGTTTGTAAAGTAGATATTCCACATAAAATAACACCAACACCATCAACCTGAATCCTTGGTAAGTCTGGGTGGATCCATTCATTTTGTTTTTACTTGATTCTGAAACTCAGAATCGACCAGGAAACTTTTTTTCTTTAGTCTGTGCTTCAAGATTCAATGTGCATGGATCAAAGATGGTATTTTACCTATCCTGGTTAGGATGAGAGGTTTGGTTTTTTTCAAACCAGTCTCCCCATTCTCATCTGACCTTTGACATCATCACAGTATATTTAGTCTCTTTTGGGATATTCACTGTGAGTGATTGCGTTCATCCGAAAAGCTCAATTTTCAGGTTGAATATGTCAAAAGGAATTTAGTAGAAAATCTTCTTGCATTAATATTTGTATAATTTGCCATTCTAGAATCAGATCAAGATATTGCTCCTTGTCGAGGTATTATACATAACTAAGTCTGTTATGAGTAAAGCAAAGCTGCTGGAAGGTTCAGTTCCCTGATGTTTTTTATTTTTATTCTTTTTTCTCAATCTCAGCACTTTTCAGAAAGTTTTTTGTTCTCTTCTCTCTTTTTTTCTTTTTTTCAAATTGACCCAAGTGGATACTAGGAAACTGAATCTTGATGCAACAGTCCAGTCCAACAGTACACTGCAAAAAAAATTCAATCTCAATAAGTCATTTTTTTCTTAAAATAAGTGCGTTTTTTTCTTGAATCAAGGAGGGAAGTGAGACACTTTGCCAATGGAACAAGACATTTTACATTTAGAATAAGAAAAAAACAATTTGTCTTATTACACGTGCATATTATCTAATTATCTTATTTTAAGAGTAAAAAT